AAATATTAGAATAATCTCATTTTTCACCCTTATCTATTTTATTAAAATAATTTAATAAATAAAAATTATAAACATTATATTTTACCATGTTTTTTTTCTGATTTTAAAATTTGCATTCTTACAGCATTCTTTAGGCCAGAGTAACTAAAATTACAGTCTTTATAATTTGTCATGAATGTTCCTAAATCAAAAGCTTTAGGATCACCTTTCATAGCTGCCTTTTCAATTGCTTGACCTCCACAACAATATCTGAATTCTTTCATATTTTTTAACTGAAGTCGTCTAGCAGCCTAAGGAATATATAATTAACTTTTACAATACTTAAAAAAGAATTGTATTTAAAATATTTGTCAATACTTTGTCTAATGCTTCACCAGGAGCATCATCAATAGATTGCCCAAGCAATAAAAATTCATTTATTTTGTTTACGACAGCTAATAAACAATGTCCACCAGATAAAAGTAAGACCACAAATGGTAATTTTAAATTCTAAAGAAAAGTTAAAAATAAATTTTTAATAAGTCACATCCATATTATAATGAAACAAGTTACTTTATCAACTAATCTAGCAGTTAGAGCATGAGCTTCCATGTGGTGAATTGGTATCAATGGCTTACGTGATATTTTACTCAATTCTTTTGCAGTATTCATACCAACTAACAGTGATAAAGGTAGGCCTGGTTTCACAGTAACAGCAATGGCATCTAATTCATTTAAACTAACTTGAGCCTGTTGTAATGCTTCAGTTACAACATTGTTAATGTTTTGCTTGTGCAAATCCCTGGCTACTGGTGGAATTATGCCCCCAAAACTGCAGAAATGACTGTTACATTTTTATGTCACCTAGATTAATTGGATACGTACTCAAGGTGTATTTGTTGTTGAGATTGTAAGCATTCTCCAAGGATATTCCTGTCACTATCCACAATTGCACAGCCAGTATCATCGCAGCTAGTCTCAATGCCCAATACTTTGCTATATGCTCTAAAACCTTGCAGTGTATTCCAATAATGTATACCATAGAGACGAAGAATTTGATTGATTCTCATCACAAAATATATATCAAATTAGGTACAAATTGTATTGAAACAATGCAGATGTATATTGACAAATATTGTGAAAAATAATAAATTTAAATTAAATTATACCTAAAAATCATAATCGGACATGAATATATTATTATTACAAAAACAAGTTGTATACATCTAGAAAGGTTGATGCAAAATAATGCAACCTAATGGGAGTAAGCTCTAGAACATATAATATTGACTAGTACTATATTATATTTACTTTATTAATTATAAATTACAAATGTATAGAGTAGAGTTAAACTAAAATACTTTATACTGTAAAATTTATATTGTATTTCCTTTTTTTTTTTAATATTCATAATGCTGAGATAATTATTATTCTGTGTCGTGATAACGCACACGTGATAACAGGTAATACTCCCGATGTTATAGCTGCCTTAGCTGCCAACGTAAAAAAGTAAAAACTCTTGTAACTGATATACTTATCAACTAGCGAAGCATGTTTTAAGGAGTAATAGTTATGCATTTTATATAGCAGTTACATTTGGGATGTGTCAATGTGTGAGAAGTAAATGAATGTTAAGACGCCTGGTGCCAATGTCGTTTTACCCTAAAAAATACACTTGACGGAAATAGTGATCCTGCCCCGTAGAATCAACCAAATTTGATTTATTTTTTTTTTTAATATACAAATAGAAGGAAATATTCTACAGGCCGCATTAAACTCTGTTTTTTCAATATTTATTCCCAACATTTATAACGAGTCTCTAGAAAAAGTAAAATTTAAGCTTTTTGTTTACCAATATTTTTTTCACTATTTAAAATAGGAATTAAAAAAATCGGAGTTCAGTGCGGCCTGTATAATGTTGTTGTTTATCAATTAAAAAAAAAAGTTATAAAAATATTGAATTTACAATGAATGATCACTATTTCTGTGAAGTAATATTTTCGTCCGTTAAACGGCCAACTAAATATTTTATTATTATTTCAAGTGACATGTTTATCTTCCATAGAACCCCTCACCCAACTCCATTGTTCACTTAATCATCATGAATGATATGTCGCATTCTCTGGTACCTCGTATTTCGCGTATGGATAATAACTAAAACTCGTATGAAAATAAGCAATAATTTAATATTTTATTTTCAATTATCGTTGCACGACGCGACGCATGTCGTATGTTTTTCAGGCTTTTACACGCAATACGCATGTGCATTGCATACATGCATACATTCTTCTTTTCTTTTTAAAAAGTTGTTTACCCACTTGATGGTGCTTCTTTTTATTGTGTTGAATTTGGTGGTTTGTTGTTTCCATGTATTGAGCCAT